AAGAAGAAGAAGACAGAGCTCTACCATTCCAAGATGGAGGTCTTTTGAGTTGCTTCTGCTGACCCCACATTTTTATTTCTTCTGGCAATTTCACTTCATTTGGAGAATATTTATTAGCCCCATTAATAGATTCTGAATACCTTGTTGCATTTTTCCATCAATTCAATCTATTTTGTTCTTTTTCTTCTCCCACTCAAGCCAATGTTTTTCTCTTGCTGGCTCTTTTCAATGTACATGCATGTTATAGCTTCTTTCTCATTAATATAATTTCATGTATTTCTGTGGGATCTCACAAAAGAGAGGAGGCATATATTCACTTGGATTCTGAAAAAAAAAAGGATCAAAGAAAACGAGTGCATGATTATAAAAATGGACTTCCTAAAGAATGTTTGTGATCAAAGTATTACTTGTGTCTTAAATCAGTAGACCAAGAGATAATTTAGTGAGGATAAGGATCATTAATTTGTGGAAGATTGCTATATGGAATTGCTTGTCATTTGTTACAATTAATTAAGTATAATAAGCTGAAGCCATTAATACAGAAGCCAAACCCTTAAATGGATATGTGCTTATATACACACATATACCACACAGATATATGCAAACACATAAATATTTGAAGAGTACATATAACATGTTTAGTAGGATTCTAGATGTTTTTTTAATCTCTTATCTGCATCTTCTAATTGTCTGTCATAAAATTGAACTACTTATGCACCAAGAAAACTAAGGTGATTTTCTTCAGAAGTTTTCTAGAAATGTGTTGCTTTTTTTTTTTTTTTTTTTGCTATGATCTTCTCAACTCATCATTTATACAATTTAGTCTTCCTGAGGTCCTGAATAACAACAGTATCTATGCCAAAGGCTATCTTTTTCAGACATTAGCAAAAAAATAAAAGTAAAAATAACCTCTTTCCAGACAACATCACTGTTTCATGGGGGAAAATTGAAGCAATATCCCTCCCTGAGGCCATAGATTGTGAATGGTGTCTTAGTCACTGTTCTATTGCTGTGAAGAGACACCATGACCATGGCAACTCATACGAAAGAAAGCATTGAATTGGGGCTTGCATACAGTTTCAGAGGTATAGTTCCGTAATCATCGAGGTGCGGAGCAGGGCAGCCCGCAGGCAGACATGACACTGGAGAAGGAGCTGAGAGTTCTACATCCAGATCTGCAGACAGCAGAAGGAGAGAGACTCTGCGCTTGGAATGGGCTATTTGAAACCTCGAAGCCCACCTCCAGCGACACACCTCCTCCAACAAGGCAATATCTCCTAATTCTTTCAAAGAGTGCCACTCCCTGGCCTGGTGACCAAGTTCAAATCTATGAGCCTATTTTCTCACTCACACCACTACAAATGGGAAACATGCTTTTCCATGAAAGGATTCTGAAAAGTTGCCTTAAAAAAATCTAAAATAAAATGGTGCATTGGTCAATGCACAGCTTAGAAAAGAGGCTAACTTCTCAGTGACCATTAGCCAGTCTCTGTCCTCCATGTTTGATTCTGTCCAGAAAGAGGGACAGAACTCTTTTTCATTACATTCAACAGCTTGTTTTCTCTTATTTATTTATTTTTTTGTTATTGTTGCTTTTCATCTCAGGGTTCTATAATGAAATAGCTTATCTCCAGCCATAAGGACCAGGTCTACTGCAGACAGTGTGGTATAAGGGCTGCCCAGGTCAAAGCCATGCCTCTGCCCTGATTCTGTCACTTTCTTTCTTAATGATCTTGGCCTTTAGTCCCTATTCCCTTGTTCACACAGCAATATATCATTACATACAGTCTTGGAAGTCTTTCCCAGTGCTGACCTTCTAGAAGGTATGAAACCTCTTAGGGTCTGCTTGTTCATTTTGATAATTTCCCCTTACAGGACTCTCCTTCTTTATAATCACTGCACACAATCAAGGCAGTGTTAGAGCCAATGCCCCCTTGTTCATGGCTTTGCTTTCCAAGGTTTTGGTTACTCATTGTCACCAGAGGTCCAAAAATATTAAAAGGGAAATTTCAGAAAATAATTATCCATAAGTTTTAGATTATGGTTCATTCTGCAAAGCATGGTGAAATCTAGGGCTATCTGGCTCCACCCTGCCCAGGATGGGTATCATCCCTTTGCCTAGGCTACCCCACAATGCAGATCCTGTCCATCTGCTGTCACTAAGCAGTCATCTTAGTTGTCAGGCCAACTGTGTGAGTGCTATGGTGCTTAGGGTCCAGTGGTCCTGCCATACTATCCTGAGAGTGCAACACAATGCCTACAGCTCATCACATAGGTGTTGCTTCATTTCATACCACCACAAGAAAAAGAAGGGTGAATACTACAGAAGTATTTTATAACAGGCCTATTATTTTTATTTAATTGTTAGCTACTGATCTTAGTTTGTTTCATAATTATTTGTGCGCTGTATGTGTATGTGGGCACAGATGCATGCCACGGTGCACATATGGAGAGGAAAGGACAACCTGTAGGAGTAGGCTCCTATATATGGATTCTGGCAATCAAACTCAGGTCATCAGGCTTGGCAATGAGTACCCTTGCCTACAGAGCCATCTCGCCAGTTTGCTGTGGCTAGGTTCTGTGCCTTATTTACAATGAAATCTTTTCCTGTGTGCATGGATGAATAGAAAGCACACATGCAATCAATGTTATCCTTGGTCTCAGGCACTGACCCCATTGGGGGTCTTGGATCCACCGAGGGATGAATGTAAATCTAATACTCTTTTTGTACTTGCCAAGTGACTTATTTGTATTAAGCAGTTTGAATAACAAAATCCTTGCCAAGTGTAAATAATGGCAATTTTTATTTATTTAAGTGACTATCATTGAGTTTCTCCATAATATGGTGCCCTTCCTCAAGGAACATCTTAATGTCTAGAAGTATTCTGAGTTGTCACAATGGCATCAGGAGTTGAATAGTAGCATCTAGTGGGTCATAGGCAGGGACACTCTAAACAGCCTTCAATTCAAATGCAAATTATGCAGTGCCAAATACTGACAGTGTGAGACTGAGACCCGGGTTGACAG